CTCAATTCTGAGGTCAACACAAAACTTTCTGAAGATTTTTCCATCGAACTGTGTTCCATTATCCGCAATCAGTACCCGCGGGATGCCAAAACGTACCACCACGTTCCTCAGGACGAACCGTTTTGTTTCTACTTCTTTGATACTTGCTAGTGCTTCGACTTCAACCCACTTAGTGAAATAGTCGGTTGTAGCGACGAAAAATCGTCTATTCCTAGTGCCTTGTGCCAACGGTCCGACAATATCCAAACCCCATTGGGCAAAGGGCCATGGGCTGGTGAGTAGAGTGAGACTTTTGGCTGGCTGATGAATTAGTAGAGCAAACCTTTGACATTTATCGCACTTCTAAACGTACTGTTGTGCATCTTGTTGCATCCGCGGCCACCAGTACCCGTGAGTGAGGGCTCGGTGCACCAGTGACCTTCCACCAACGTGGCATCCACAAATCCCATCGTAAATTTCGTAGAGAACATTTTCGACCAGATTTGGATCCACACATAGAAGATAAGGGCCGAGATAGGAGCGTCTGTACAGCTTCCCAGATGGTGAGATCCAAAACCAAGCTGACCTATGTCTGATTTTGTTGGCTTCCTTTTATCTTCGGGGAGAGTGCCAGATTTTAGAAAAGCAAGTATCAAATCCATCCAGCTTGGCTCTAAGTTGCTGCAGAGGACTGGAGATGCAATGCTTGGTTCTGGCACAAACTCAACCCAAACTTTTCTAGCATCTTTGGTATCTACTGATGAGCCGAGGCAAGCTAGAGCATCAGCATGGCTATTTTTGTCCCGACTGATTCGTTCCACTTGTATGAATCAAAATTTTTTGAGTAGATCTTTGGCCTTGCCTGCGTACATAGCCATTCTCAATGCTTGGTTCTGGCACGAACTCAACCCAAACTTTTTTAGCATCTTTGGTATCTACTGATGAGCCGAGGCAAGCTAGAGCATCAGCATGGCTATTTTTGTCCCGACTGATTCGTTCCACTTGTATGAATCAAAATTTTTTGAGTAGATCTTTGGCCTTGCCTGCGTACATAGCCATTCTTTCGTCTCGTGTTTCATAGACCCCAGAAAGCTGGTTTACCACCAGTTGTGCGTCACTGAAAATAAGAAGTTGTTCTGCACTGAAGTGTTCGGCACTGCGTAAGCCAGCCAACAATGCTTCGTATTCCGCCTCATTGTTAGAAGCCTTCCAACTGAGCCTGAGAGCCTTCTCTCAAATAAATCCCTCTGGTGAGATAAGTACTACTCCTGCCCCCGAGCCTCGGTTATTGGATGATCCCTCGACATAAAGCTGTCAGATGTTTCCAATAAAGAGTTTTCATGCTTCCGAAGTGCAGTGTTTTCCCTATTCGGTGGTGCGTGGCACTTGTGCCGAACTGGGACTCCCTGGCTTGGTACTCTGGGTGGGAGTAAATTCTGCGACGAAATCTGCTAAGACCTGGGCCTTGATTGATGTCCTGGGTTATACCAAATGTCAAACTCACCAAGTTCTACCGCCTATTTTGCTGTTCGGCTAGAGAAATCTGCTTAGCTGAATACAGATCTGAGGGGGAATTCAGTGAAGACATTGATGGTATGCCCCTGGAAGTAATGTTGCAACTTTCTTAAGGCGATAAGCAGCGCGTAAGCTAACTTTTCCAAGGGTAGGTACCGTGTCTCGGCATCTAGTAAAGTCTTGCTAACATATTATACTGGCCTCTCACTACGCCAGAATTTTCCTTTAACGGCGGTTTGTAACCGCCGTTAATAACCATACAACCGTCACAAAAACTTTTAACGGCGGTAAGACAACAAAAAGTGTAACCATCGTCTATACAAGTGTCGAAAATAATTTAACGGCGGTTATTTTACCGCCATTATTAATAACGGTGATATTCACGACGGTTATTAACCACCACATAAAAAATCGACGATCTTGAAAATTGGAGGCGGTTTGTAGAACCGTCGTAAATGTCATGCCTTTAATGACGGTATTTTAGAGTAAAAAACGGCAATTATTTACTGCCGCAAAAGACTACAAAAATTAACGGCATTTATTTACCGCCGTTAAATAATTTTCAAAATTAAATATAATTTTCTTTTAGCGACAAAATTAAACTGCCGTTAATTATGAACCTTTTGTTAGCGACAGTATTTTTAGAGTAAAAAATGGCAGTATTTTACTGCCGCAAAAGATTACAACAATTAGTGGCATTTATTTACTGCCGTTAAATATATTTCAAAATAAATGTAATTTTCTTTTAGCGACAAAATTAAACCACCAAGAATTATGAACCATTTGTTAAACTGACTTTGTTTATACATTTTTATTCAATACCTGCTAGTGTACTCAATGAAAATCATTCAATAGAAGTGTATAACCTACTAAAGCTTCCATACATTCAATATAACAATATATAAGCTGCCACAATACAATTTATAGCCATACAAATCCATACACCATATTCAATTAACAAAATCTATTCCAAAATACATGTCACATGTAGCAAAGTTCCAAATACATGTCACTTGTAGCAATTAGTTCCAAAATACATGTCACTTGTAGCAATTAGTTCAAAATATTTGTCTCAAAATATAGTGTCAAAATAAAAGTCCCAAAAGACATTTGCATTTACATGGTCCACCTAGCTCCCCCAATCTGCAAAATGCTGCAACTAGTTCCAAAATTTTGTCTCAAAACACAAGTGCCAAAATAAAAAGTCCCAAAAAGCATGTACATTATCTACATGTTCTATCTAGCTCCTTTCAAACTTGCAAATGTAGCAATTAGTTGCAAAATATTTGTCTCAAAACACAAGTGCCAAAATAAAAGTTCCAAAAAGTATGTCCTTTATCTACATGGTCCATCTAATTCCCCTCAATCTGCAAAGTCTACAAATGGATCCTCAATCTGCACAGTCTACAAATGGATCCTCAATCTGCACATGTATAAAAAGATATAAATTTAGCTACCACTAAGATTTAAAAATATAATAAATATAGTATTAGTGCATATGCATTACATCAAACGAAGGCCAAGCTACACATTTGTGAAGTGCATCTCCAACTGTTTTGACACCTTCAAGAGCTTTCACCAAATTTTGACGAGGCTTTATCACTTTCGTAATACGAACTTCCCAAAATTCTGGCCCCAATCGTTGTCCACCTACTACTTTGGATGGGTCCTTAGAAATAACTATGCCAATTGCCACAACTTGTTTTGGCAATTTAGAAGTAAGTAATTCTACTTCTTGTACAACCTTCAAAAAAAATTAATGTGTAAATGTTGTGTATAAAAGCAATCACATTAAAGTATTTAGGATTAAATACACTTTACCCTCTTCTAGTTTAGCTCAAAAACAAAAGAAAATAACGTTTGCATTTTACTCCATACCAGAGATGTGTATATTTTTAAACTATAGGGAGGCAATAATGTGTTTTCTAACTAACCCAAAAATTTAACTAGTATTCCTTGAATAAATAGAACTAATAATAATGTTTATGAAAAAATTTAATAAATATGTTTAAATACTCATTATGCGTAAACATTGTCTTACTTCATGTGATACCATTAGCTCTTCATTCAACTAGTGAGAACTAGAGGCATTTGGAACCTGTTGCATATTGAATAATGATCTGGAACCATTCTGTTTAAACATAACCATATAATTAGCTAACTTTACAATATCCAATTTATTATAGTAAAACATACTTAAATTAAACTAGGATTAGATACACATTACCCCTCCAATATGTGAAGGCATTGATGGTGATTGAGGCATTGGATATCCCATAGTTTCCACATGAGCTTGCATTTTGTCACACTTGCGCTCTAACTGAGTAAACCTTTCACCCCACTCAGCTAATAATTCCTGTCGCACCTCTTCTCATACCTCTGTGCGCAATTTATCCATGTCTATACGTTGTCGAGGTCCAGAATATCTTGTCCCAAACACCTGAGATGGGCAAGGTCCCAATCCATAGGTACATACACGACCATGCCCATCTACTCCTAAGACCTCAGTGGATAGCTTCTCTCGAAATTTTTCAGTTTGGAAGGACTCGGGCACTTGAGACAATCCCTCTTTCAAACGAGACTAAAATATAAGAAAAAAAAATTATTAGAACATGAATAGGTAAATAATTAATCATAAACATTCATATTATTACACATACAATGGCTACATCTGATGCCTCATCAACTGGATCTCCATTCTTCTTTGTGTGTGTCTCTATGTAGAGCATTATCCGATCTGGTTGCACCTTATCTCTCTTATACATCTTCATTATTAGGAACAATAAATACATATTACAACTTTACCAAATACAATGCATATTGAGAAAAAATTGTTAACCTATCATTTACCTCATCCTTTACCCGACAATGGGCCTTTTTCCCACTTGTATGGCACATTGTCAATTTTTTTCGATTGTCACTGTTGTTTGTACTGCGTTCATGTCACAATAGATAGATATCAAGATTTGGTACAAGTCTTTCTCCAACAACTCTTGAAGCAATTTAGACCTTTTAACAAAAGAGCTTAATAGCCAAACCTTCATACACCATATTCTTTGGCAAATATATGCATGTGTTTAGACAATGCTTTGCTCTATATTCATAAACTAATTGAGATTTTATTTTACTTCAGTCAAGGGCAGCTATCTTTATGGTCATAACCAAAATAATAATCATAATAAGTCATGTAATCAATACCGTAACAAGTCATCATTATGTCTTAACTAACACTAAAATCAGTCATCCTCAAACATTACTCGAAGCATCGCCAAAGACTTTATTGACCATAACTGGAATAACAACCACAATAAGTCATTATCAGGTCATAAAAAACAGAATTTTAAGGTAAAAAAATTATAGAATGCAACAATTAATACCTGTGCCTCTAGACTATTCCAAAATTGAACGAGAATCTTCCATTGACTAGGATCCACCCTATCGGGACAATTTGCTAAGCGTTCTTCATTAGTTTGGTACTTGTTGAAGTGCTTTCTTTTCAGTTGGTTTTTCCAGTCTTTCCATTTCTTTCCAACTGACATCAAGCAATTATGCTTGAAAATATCTGGTGCATCAGTGTTTTCCTATATATATAACGAGATATCAAACAAATATATTTGTTAATTAAAGTATGAGTACAAGAATAAGAATTATATAGTACTTGCATTTTCATACCTTAACTTCCTGCCATATACGTTCTTTATAGGGGTTTAACTGTGGAGCTCTCCAATCATTGAAAGTTAATGGTGCAAAATTCCCATTCTGGGCTAGAATGCCTAACTGACTTTGTAATTTTGCAGCTTCATCGCCAATAGGTTGATTCTCTTCATTTAATGTAACCTTTAACTTTTGTCCCGTGCCCCATCTAGCAAAAGGACGACCAGCCCCTCTTGTCTGTCTAATTGCTGATTAACCCGTGCTGGTAGCTATTGAAACTTTTATAAAATAGGCATAAAAGAAAGCAAAAATTAAGTAAACATGTGAATTTCAGCTCAAGGTTCTAATTCATAGCGTAACATGTAATGGTAATTGCTCTATGCTTGATGGCTATTCAAATTAAATTACCTGCTCCACTTGATGACTGCAATTCATGATTACTTTGTTAGGAAGAGCTCAAGGTTGGAGTCATATTGTTGCAAAGAGGTTGTAGTGGTTGCGACTGTGATTCTGACTGCGACAGTGGCAGAGGCTGGGGCTGAGGATGTGACTGATTAGTAATAGATACTGGTTGTGAAACATCAGCTATGGAGCCAGCTGTCCAACGGGGTTGCTTTCGTTTCATAGTCATTTGGAAAAAAACAAAACAAAACAAAACAAAAAAGTATTTGAACACTTGTTACTTGGATGCAAGGATGTACAAATAAGTATGAAATTATGTATGCAAACTTATGTGCTACAAACTTAAGTATGAAATTATATATACAAACTTATGCAAGGATGCAAGGTTGTAGTGCCTGTGGTTGTAGCTGTGATTATTGCTATGCCGGTTGTAGCTGCGACTGAGGCTGTGGCGGATGCTGTGACGGATTAGTCGTAGGTGCTGGTTGTGAAACATTAGCCATGGAGCCAGCTGTCCAACAAGGCTGCTTTCGTTTTGTAGTCATCTAAAAAAAAAAAAAAAAAAAAAAAAAAAAAACACATTTGAATGCTTATTAGTTAGATGAAAGGATGTGCAAATAAATATGAAATTATATATGCAAACTTATGCATGGATGCAAGGTTGTAGTGCCTGCTGTTGCGGCTGTGATTGTGGTTGTGGTTGCAACTGTGTCGGTTGTGGCTGAGACTGAGGCTGTGGTTGATGTTGTGACTGATTAGTAGTAGGTGCTGGTTGTGAAACATTAGCCATGGAGCCAGCTGTCCAATAAGGCTGCTTTCGTTTCGTAGTCATCTAAAAAAAAAGAAAAAAAAACACATTTGAATACTTATTAGTTAGATGCTAATGAATATATGAACACTAACTAATGAATACAAATTAAATAAAAAGTAAATAAGTCTCACTGTCTTACATGTGCTAACTTTTAGGATAACATAGAATCATGCACAAAAGAAGAACTAATAATCATTATCATAGTCGTCATCATCACTGTCACCACCATCAACATAAATATCATCACTGTCATCATCATAATCATCTTCTTTTTCATCACTATCATCGTCATAATCCTCCTCTTCACCACTATAATCTATAGTGGCATCATCACCACCATCAACAGTTGTTCCATTCACATTTGACCGAACCCAATCAACGTCATCCTCCTGAATGTATGTTGAATCATCTAGATGTTGACTAGAATATGGCTCAACTTGCGGACATGTTATTGCATCTTCAAAGATTCCCTCCCACGCATATCATACAAATCCCTGGGTGTCATCTCCACAACTATATGCCAATCTTTCTCAATAAGGTCTTGAATATACCAAACTTGTTGTGCTTGGGATGCAAAGATGAATGGTTCATCTGACATTCAATTTTGTTGATACAAAAGATGCTTAAAATTCACAAGTGTGAACTTGAACTCATCTTGCCTCTTCCCCACATTGTTATCAACCCAATTACATTTGAATAACACAAACTTGAAGTCATTAGAATATCTCAACTCAATTATATTAGTCAAAGCCCCGTAGAAAGTAACTTCTCCACTAATTGGTCATCTATCTCTTAAACTTGCCTAACTTTGTGTATATGCAGTCAATGACACTCCACTGTTTTGAGTTTTTCTACTCTCCTCACGTTGTTTAGTGTGAAACCTAAACCCATTTATAATATACCCACTGTATCTTCTTGCCCAATTGTCTGGTGCTACGAACAAAATTTTTACTTCATCTGAGATGTTTGCATTTTCAGTTTGTTGCAAGTGTTGAACCTACATTTTAATCCAATGTATTAGAAATCACATATCAGAGATACCATTATATATACATATACCACTATTTTAATCCAATGTTTGCATGTATGACTTACGTGCTCTCTAAACCAAAGAGGAAATTCTTCGTTGTGCTTTCTCATAAGATCACGCTCACTTAAACGAGCTTTAAGCACTTGAATGTGTTTCCTGCATGATTGAGAATAGGTATAGGATATTAAATATGTTATTTAATTGACTAGAAATTGAATATTTAATTTAGTAGATTTCTTACTCTCGGAATGGAGTGACTACATTAGAGTTGGCTAGCATATATCTATGTGCTTGTTCCCATGCAGTTTTATCAAGTAGGAATAATTTCCCTTTCCCTTTCCCTAAAGAACGTCCTCTTTGTTCACCCTCATAATTTCGTATCGGCCGATTTAATTTTGTCTCAACATCATGCAAATATCGACTACAAAATGTCAAACACTCTTCTGCTAAATACCCTTCTGCAATGGAACCCTCTGGATGGCTTCGATTACACACGTACTTTTTAAGTGTAAGCAAATACCTATGAAAAAATAAAATTTATTTAGTTAGAAGATAAGCTTGACCAGCGCACGTCATTTATATGTACCTAAAATTGAAAAATTAATGCATACCTCTCAATAGCATACATCCATCTGTAATGCACTGGTCCAGCAAGTCTTGCCTCTTCTGCTAAATGAATAGGCAAATGCTCCATGATATCAAAGAAGGAAGGTGGAAAAATTTTCTTAAGATGGCAAAGAGTCAATCTAATTTTCTCTTCAAGACGACCACAATCATTTGGATGTATTGCCTTTGAACATAACTATCTAAAAAAAGTACCTAATTCAATCAAGGTTTCACAAACATTCTTAGGCAGTGTCCTTCTCACAGCTAGAGGCAACAGTTGTTGCATTAGAATATGGCAATCATGGCTCTTAAGCCCTGAATAGTTCTCTCTTTGAGTTGTACACGGTGTGAAATACTTGACAAGTATCCATCCGGGACTTTCACATTTTTTAGCACCTTGCAAAATATTTCTTTGTGCTCTTTATTCATTGTGAAACAAGTTGTAGGTAAAAAAACTTTACCATTTGGCCGTTGTTGAGGGTGAAGAGCTTTAGAAAGTCCCATCTCTTGAAGGTCACGACGAGCTTTTAGACTATCCTTTGTTTTTCCCACAACATTCAATAGGGTCCAAAGTATATTTTCACACATTTTTCTCAATGTACATAACATCAAGATTGTGTCGAATTAAATTGCCCTTCCAATATGGTAATTGGAAAAAAAATAGTTTGCTTTCTCCAATTATATTCTTCTCTCAAGGTTTTATGAATGCCTCTCCCATCCTCAATAACTTTTCTTTTTTTAGACACACGTGTCTTTTCATTTCCATCACCCTTCCCATATTTGTTCTCAATGAATTCTATTTGTTTGAAAATATCATCACCGGATAATTAAGGTGGCATTTTCTTTGTTTCAACACTTCCATCAAAACCTATTGCATCTTTCCGAAACTTATGCCCTTCATCTAAGAACCGCCTATGGCCCATATAACAATACTTTCAACTATGCTTTAACCATCTAGAATGGGTATCTTTATTACAAGATGGACAAGCCAATGCTCCTTTTGTACTCCATCCAAATAAATTAGCATATGCAGGAAAATCACTTATGGTCCACAACAAAGCTGCACGCATATGAAACATCTGGTTGCTTGATGCATCATAAGTAAGTATGCCATCAGTCCATAATTCCTTTAACTCGTCAATTAAAGGTTGCAAATACACATCAATATCATTTCCAAGACCACGAGGCCCATCAATAAGCAAAGATAACATGAAATATGGTTGCTTCATGCATAACCAAGAAGGCAAGTTATATGACATCATCACAACAAGCCACGTGCTATGAGCAATGATCATTGTCCTAAATGGGTTAAAACCATCAGATGCTAATCCAAGTCTGACATTTCAACTGTCACTAGCAAAATCTTGATTTTTTTCATCAAAAGTTTTCCATGCAAGTGAATCAGCTTGATGTCTCAATATCCCATCATTGGTGCGTTCATTTGCACGCCATGTCATGAGTGATGCTGTTTTTGTTGACATGAATAGCCTTTGGAGCCTTGGCTTTAAAGGAAAATGCCTTACTTGTTTGGCAGGAATTTGTGTTACTTTAGTGGTTCCATCCTCTAAACGAAATTTTGATTGATTATATCTTGATCTCCCACAAATTTCACATTTATCAAGCATTTTTTTGTCTTTCCAAAACAGCATACAATCCTTAGGACAAGCATCATACTTTGTGTAACTAAAGCCTAAGGCTTCGTTGAACTTCTTTGCTTCATAGTATGAGTCCGGCAATGTTTCATCCTTGGGAAATGTCTCCTTCAACAACTCAAGCAACATATCAAATGATGTATCAATCCATCCATTAAGTACCTTTATGTGCAACAATCGAACAACAAAAGAAAGAGTTGTGAACCTCTTGCAACTTGGGTACAACTCACGTTGTGCATCTTCTAATAGTTTAAAGAATTTCTTTGTCTCTTCATTAGGCCCCAATCCCATATTTTCATGTATTTGATTTTTAGTATAGACACCATCTTCCATTGGAACTCGAAATGTGTCATGTACCAAACCAATCATATCATCAATTACATCGAATTCTTGATTTTCATTCACTTCATTTCTACCACATGGAGCCAAGGCCTCCCCATGAATTGTCCATCTTATGTAGTTAGTGTTAAACCCATTTATGATGATGCGCTCTCTTACGCCATTTAGGCGTCTCATATCTCAGGTTAACACATTTCTTACACGAACAAAATATCTTCGACTCTAAAGGCTTATTAGCATAAGCAAACTCAATAAACTTTTCAACCCCTTGCACATATGTAGGGTCTAACCTATTTTTTATATGAATCCAATCCTTATCCATACCAATTATCTTCAAGATTACCTGAAATTTTATATGTAAACACGTATATAACAAAGAAATTAAAAAGTATGAGTCAACATATAATTAGTATGATTATATACAATAAAGAAATTCAAAAAAAGAAGAAGGTGCAAGTCTCTAAATATAAATATAGAGAATCATTTGCCTTAGTTAGTTGTACTGGCAAGTGTCTTCAAATAACTTATTTTGATACATATCAACACAAAAAGAAAGAATCATAAATATAGGACAGTTGGCATCTTAGTTCCAAAAAGTCTTTGTTTAAGGACAGAATTTTTTCAAGGATTGTATGTTTAAGGACAAAATTTTTTCAATGTTTATGATACAATGTTTAAGGACAAAACAGCTAAATTCTGAATTTGTGGGTGATGTTTAAGAACAAAATTTGTTTAAGAAGTCCTTGAAAATTCTGTATACATAATTGTCCTTAAAAATTCTGAATTTTCTGAATTTTTAAAAACTTCTGTTTAAACATAATTTTTAAACTTCTGAATTTTCTGAAAACTTCTGTTTAATCATAAAATACTGTATGCTGTTTAAAATTCAGAAGTTTATAAAATTATGATGCTGTTTTTAGAAAGTTTATGAATTTTCTGAATTTTAAAACTTCTGTTTTAAAAATTCTGTATGCTATTTTAAAATTCAGAATTTTAAATCTTCTGTTTCAGAAAATTCAGAAAATTAATCATAATGAAAATTCTATATGCTGTTTAAAAATTCTGAATTTTTAAAAATTCTGAACTGTCCTTAAAAATTCTGTATTAAGTATACATGATGCAATCCTTGAAAATTCTGTATGCTGTTTTCAATGCTGTTTTGTCCTTAAAATTCTGCATCATACAACTAACTAATTCTACATCATCCTTAGGAACAAAGACTCCAAGAACTATTTTTTCATGTACTACAAACATAATTTTTCCAAAAGCTAAGTCTTTGTTTAAGGAATTGTGTTATTTATTTATTATGGGAATCTATCCAAAAAGATTGCAGGCCTTGTAATTGGAATTGGAAACTATATTAGTTCAAAATTTTAATTCAATGACCTCTAATTCCAAAATTAATGCATGGATTCCATGCTGCCTAACACAGTGGTAGTTCAGATTGTGTTCCTAAGTGCTTTTGGCTGGTAAAACTACTTATTTGTCTCTCTGGCTATATTGTAGAATTAGATACACTAAAATGTTAATTTCGCCCTTACTGATGTTATTATCAATATTTTATAATATTAAATATACAAAAATGATTATATTAATTGTTGTTTTTATTATTATTGTAGTTATTAACATGAAAATATAGTCCCAAAATATAACTTGTGCATTCGTATGGAGCGACAATATAAAATTTACAATATATGCTTCTGGAGGAATGAATATTAGTGTATTTTGTATGCATAAATTCTCATTCTAGATGTTAATAGAGATTTTACCAATGCTGAAGGTTTTATTCATTTAATTGGTAACAGTAGACTAAGGACTTTAGAACACAGAATTTGACAGGTGAAGATCATTGGCTGTACATCTCTACATGGCAATAGTTACAAGTTGAAATATATGCAAGTCTACATATTATAGGCCTTAATAATCCATTACCCTTCATATTACATGTTTAACAAATACAAGACATAATAGGCATTTCATCAAACAGGTGGTGAGTGCCACTAAAATTCAAAATTTGAACATACAAAAGCATAATAATTTTGAATTTCAATAACTAATAAAATGAGTTCAAGCATTTTTTTGATTAGCAAAAAGAACATTTAGTGAAATGGAGGTCTTTCTCAACTTGGGTTTTGCTCAAAACTCTCTAAAATTTCTTCAATGAAAGAGAGATCCAAACTGATGAGTGAGAGGGAAGGCTCTCTTGAAGGAGAGAGAGCCTACATGTATATGCAAAAATCCCCAATTTCAGTGTCTCTAATCTGTGAACCCACAAAAATCTCTCTAAAAAACTGTGTTTTGATTTATGGGTTTGTTTATTTTGGCTTCTTTAATCTTTGTTAACCTATATATATATATGTATATATGTACATGTATCAAAACTAATAATAAGAGGGAGATTTAAGAAATGTATAGTTGATACTTGATTCCATTGAAACAAACCCTAAAATGAAATTACCTTTCCTCTAATCATTGATAGCTTAATAGAAACACTATCAGCAAAGGTAGAATGGCAATAGAAAGAGAAGGAAAAGCATGGAAAAAGAAACCAATGGAGGCAACATGAAGCCAATAGGGGAATCAGAAGGTAGGCAAAGATCTCTTACCTCTAACGATGGTGCTATAGTGCGACAATGGTGCTTCGAACGACCTCCAATGCTGGTACTTCATACGACCTTCAAACGACAATGGTGAATTTTCGTTTCACTTTGCAAAGCCTCTCTTCCAGAAGTTAGAGATGTAAGGAAAAAAAACTAATCAATTAGAAGAAATAGGTAAAATACGATGTCGTTTAACAATTAATGGGAGGGAATCCAATTTTTTTTGAGAGGGAATTAAAAAAATGTGGACTACATTTACGGCAGTCTTCAAACAACTGCCATAAAAGACTGACCCTTCAGTTTCACTCTGTTTTTTCATCATTAACACTCACATTTTATCGGCTGTTTTTCGTAACTGCCGTGAATACTAAAATTTTAGAGGCGATATCTTTACCGCCATTTTAAGTATATTTTTAACGGCAGTCTTGTTACCGCCCTGAATGAAACCGCCGTTAAAGATCAAATTTGGCGTAGTGTCTATTTCTTGTTAACTTCTCGAATCAATATCGCGCTTACGGCGTGATCTAAGACTGCTAGATATAGGTACAACTCCTCCCCTGATTCTGGAGTGGACAGAAGAGGTGGTATACTGAGGTATCTTTTGAGACTTTGCAATGCTTCGATACACTCAGGACTCCATTCAAACGCTGCCTTTTTTCTCAACAGCTGGAAAAAAGGCTTCATCCGGTCTGAGAACTTGCTGATGAACCGATTTAGGGCGGCCGCCATTCCGGCCAGCTTTTGTAGCTCTTTAGCCTTCGTTGGTACTTCAAGCTCTTGTATGGCTTTGATTTGATCTGGATTTGCTTCGATTCCTCTATGAGTGACCATATACCCCAAGAACTTTCTTGTTCCTACCCCGAAAGCGCATTTCAAGGCATTAAGGTGAAGTTGATGATTCTTTAGGATACCAAAGACTTCTCCTAAGTCTGCAAGGTGGTTTGTAGAGAGCTTGCTTTTTATTACCATATCATCAATATATGCTTCCATGGTCTTTCTGAGTTGGTCCTTGAACATTCGAGTGATCATTCGCTGGTAAGTTGCTCCGGCGTTCTTGAGGCCGAACGACATTACTTTTAGCAATAATGCCCCTTGAAGTGATAAATGTTGTCTTCTCTTGATCCGGACCGAACAGTGGTATCTGGTGATAACCGCTATAAGCATCCAGAAAGCTCATGCGCTCATGCCTTGTTGTTGAGTCTACCAGTTGATCGATGCGAGGCAAAGGAAAACTGTCTTTGGGACAAGCTTTGTTTAGGCAGGTGAAGTCAACACAGACCCTCCATTTTCCGTTCTCCTTTTTTACTGCAACTGTGTTGGACAACCATTGTGGGTACTGGACTTCTCTGATTGCTCTCGATGCTAGGAGTTTTTCAACTTCAGTAATTACTGCCTCAGTGTGCTCAACTGAAGATCTCTGACTTTTCTATACAACAGGCTGAGCGGAAGGGTTGATGTTGAGTTTATGGCAAGCAAATTTTGGGTTCAATCCTGGAGTATCATATGCTGACCACGCGAATACCTCCATATTTTCCCTCAGCAGTTCAAGCAGCTGAAGTTTCTCATCAGCGCCTAGCGAGGTACCGATAAGGAAGTACTTTTCTGGATCATCCTCATTTACTAGGACTTTCTCCAAATCCTCTACCATCTTTTCCTCTAGGGCTTTCCTTACATCTTCCAAGACTGGCTGTTCGGCCACTTCCACTGACTGTACCCAGTTACAAAGTTGCTTAGCCTTTAATGCCGCCGTAAAGCAATGTTTGGACGCAACTTGATTCCTTGAGATCTGCTTTACTCCGTGTTCTGTTAGGAAACGAATGAGCTGGTGGTAGGTTGAAGGGACCGCTTCCATTTGGTGAATCCATGGACGACCAAGTATGGCTTTGTAAGGGGAAGGTGTATTAATAACTAGAAACTCTATCTGGAGGGTCTTCGTTCATGCCACAACTAGCAACACTATTCTGCCAAGCGGCCATTCTAGCTGTGAATTAAAGCCAACTAACGGAGCTGCCGCTGGGGTGAGATGCTGCTCGGAGAGACCAAGCTTTCTGAACAAGTCATAATACAATATGTCTATTGTACTGCCTTGATATACCAGGACTCGTTTTACGTCAAACCATTTCCAATTCCCACAGTTATAATCAGTGCATCAGTATGTGGGTGTTGTATGCATTCTAAATCCTTTCTAGTGAACGAAACAGTGCAAAAGGGGGATTTGGGTGCCGTGCATACCTTTTTCGATGCGGGCCCTACTGACATGACCTGCTGAATTTGCACAGCCTTAGCAATCTCTTCTTTCAGTGCCTCTTCACGTTCCTGGATCGCTGTTCCATGGATCACATTTATTATCAGCTGAAGTGGATGCTCAATGTTCGGTTCTGGTGGTGGGTTCCCCGGCTCAGTCACTGCTTTATCCTGATCAATGCAATCCCAGAAATGTCCGGCTGCTACTAGGTCTTCTAAGTGTTGTTTCAGCACTCTGCAGTTCTGAGTCATATGCCCCTTGTCTTGGTGATAGATACATCTGAGCTTCTGATTACACCGAGCTGGATCTCCTAACATTTTCGGCAGCCAAATAAAGAAGGGCTCCCTCTTGATCTTTTCCAGGATACGATAGATGGGTTCCTTAAATACGGTCACGACTGCTTCATGAGATTTGGACTTATCTACCTCATTCAGTGTGAGTCCCCGGTGTTCCCCTCGGTCCGTTTTTTTTCTTGTGCCGAGTTGTTTGTTCTGCGGATGCTATCTCGATGGGGATCTGGTCATCCTCGAGGCAAGCATACTACTCAATCCCGGCACGTAAATCTTTCAATATTATGGGTAGGCGCTTAGTAAGTAACTGTCTCAACTTACTTTCCGGGCGCAGACCATGTTTGAAGAACATAACAACCATCTGCTCACTGCAAACGTTTTCCTATAAGTCATTGTACTCTTCTCAATACCTCCTAGCATAACTGCGTAGCATTTCTTCCTGCTCCTTTCGGAGACCGAACAGTGTATCCGACTTTTTCGGAATCTTAGTGTTGGAGACAAACCTGGCTAAAAACTCTTCGAAGAGCTGCTTCCAGTCATAAATTGATCTAGCGGGAAGTCGATCGAACCATCGAAGTCCGGTTTCTCCCAAGCTGGACGGGAAGACTTTGCACATCAATGCCTCATCTCGGTTTCATAGAGACATCATCTGTCTATAATGGCTAATATGCGTCAATAGGTCTGACTTTCCATCGTACGACGTGAACTTTGGCAGGGTGAATTTCTTCGGGGGTCTCATGGCCTCAATTTCTGGGGAGAATGGGGAGGAGACAAACCTATCTAATGCTCGGTGCTCTCTCTGGTGAATGGTACGGTCTAGATGATCCCGATGTTGTTCGTTCTACTTGTTGCCAATTAGCCAAGTATGAAGGTCTTGAGGAGGGTACTTAGCCTGTTGGCTAACCGTCTTCTGCCTCTTAGCCCTTCTACAGCGTGACCCATGGGTGTGGCTGCTCGCCGCTTCACTCTGTACCGGGATTGGCTGGCTTTGTTGCCCAGACTCATTTTTGGGGAACTTCTTTGCTGGTGGTTCTCTAGATAAGCTCCTCCGTCGTAAGCGAGAGGGCTCTGCTTCAATCTTCTTTTCCGTTGGATCACCCAATACCGTTTTAAGTTGCGCTTTCAGCTCCTGTATCTCCATCCCCATAGAGTCTATGATTCGATCTCTGTAATCCTTTTCCAGAATAAAGTGATGAGAAGAACCTCCAGTGAAGGGTAATCGATGCTCAACGGATTCGGGGGTCCGGTTATTGTTTCCAGTTTGTTCTTCTAGGACTGTTGGGAGTGACAAGCCTTTGTCTTTTGTCTTCTCCGTCTATGGAGTATGTGTCGATGATGGGATGTCCTCAATCCCCATCGTCAGAACTGAGTGCGGAGCTCAGAGACAAAGTGATCCACGCTCACTGCACCAATTGTGCGTACTGAATACCGCACTAGATGAAAGTGGATCAGGGCTCCAAACTCGGTTGGACTATCCAAGGAATGAGGTCCCTGCAGCAAGAAACACCGTAAGAGCTGCCTGGCTGGGGTTGGCCGAATAACCCCTTCGGTGTGGGAATCAGTTATCGGAGAAGAAGTGTAGAGAGTTGAGTTTGTAGTAAGTGGGGTTTAGCTTAGATCAATTACCTTCAATGTGAAGTTAGTATAGTTTATATAGAGCTCCTTACTTGTTTTCCAAGATGGTTTCATGGAGCTCTGGTGCTGCCAAGCTTCCTTTTAGCATGGTCCCCGGTGGGGGACCATCTGGTAGTTGTCTAGAGGTGCTTATACTCATTCTAGTCATACTAATAACAAACCACATTCTTCTGGTTTAACTGCTTCTGTGATTCTAGGTGTAGGGGACCAGGTGAGGTGGCAACTTGCACATACATATGCTCATAGCTTCCACGTTTTTTTGAGAGGTTCCCTCAGCTCGGCATCGTTGTACCTTAGCTCAGCCCTTTGCGAGGCTACTATTGGGATGGGCTATCCCATTCAGACATTTGTGTACGGATTCGGCCCACTTTGGTTCTGATGATGGGTTCGACCCATCAGTTTGGCCCATAGGAGGGGTCATGCAGCTCAACCCTAGCCCAGTATTGCAACTGGGCTGGCCTTTCCATTGTGAGTTGGGCCCAAGTGCTTGAGGACTTGGGTGGACTGTTAGTAATTGAGTTGGGCTTAATTGAGTTGCCCACATGCTCGTCTAACCCATTTGGATTTGGGCTTAAGGGATTGGATCGGCCTAAGGTTGGAGTCTGACGCACTTCTTATTTAGCCCCGTCACTTATAGTAGTTGTCAAAGTAAGAAAAATGTTATAAGTTCTAAATTTTCTACTAAATAAATGACCAAATATCTTACATAGATGTGGGGTTCACTTATATGAGACATTTAATTATTTGTTTAATAGAAAATTTGGTATCAAAACATTACCCGTTAAAGTAATGTACCACTATTAATGCATTGACAATGTTATATTATACCTATTGTTTTAGCGATAATAGATCAACTTTATTTTAAAGGGGAATATATTGTGCAGGAGAATATGGGGGAAGTTAATGGTAACTTTCACAAAATTCTAATAGCAGTGGCATGTAAAAATTATGCATTGAAAATGTTATATTATATATTTTGCTTTGGCGATAATAAGTCTACGTCATTCTTTGTTTAATGGACCTCTTTACCCTTTTTGGTTTTATTTTCCTCACACTTTTTTCTATCAAATCGGGTGTGGGCACACTCATTCTCTCTTTTCTTACTGTATAACTTTTAAAATATAACACTGATTATTATAAAATTAGTACTATTGAGTAGATATTGATGATACCTTTAAAACGAGATTAATATTAATTGTATTTAATAAAAAATTATATTGTTTTGAAAAAATTACATGATTAAAAAGACATCTATGGTTGAAATTGTGTAACAAAAAAAATTTATAATACAAATAATAAAATGATCTAAAATTAGTTAAATATAAAACATAATTTTCTATCTCAAAGTGAAAAAAAAATGAAAATGTAGAGATGGTTGTTAAGCAAACTAATAAATTTTTTGTTAGTAACCAACGTGTCATGCAATAAAAAAAATTAAAATATAAAACATCACCTACTTCAATAATGTAATAAGGCTTCGTTTGGGAACAGGCTAATTTAGTAACTTTTTGGCTATTTGGTTAAAATATGAGTTAAAAAAAACTAGTATATTTGGGATGACTTTTTACGAAAAGATGTGTAAAAAGTAGAGAAAAAAAGAGAATCGTTGACTTTTTTGTATGAGTTGTTGGCTTTTTGGCTAATTTAGTAACTTTTTGACTTTTTGACTAAAAAGTTCGGTTGCCAAACGAGGCCTAAGTATCACATTAACAAATAATAATTTTTTAATAAAATTTATTAATTTATATAGTATTAGAAAATGGCTACATGGTTGCACTCTCTAATTTATTGCAAGTGCTTTTGGGAACTTGATTTTTGGATTTTATTTTTTATTTTTTTTCACTATAAGACAAATATTTTACAAAATCAAAAAAAAATAAATCCAAACAAAATATCACATCAAACCTCATAATCATTTCACTTTTTCTCTTACAAACATCACATCAAATCACAAAAAAACCCAACTATCTTCCCAAATACAAAAGTTTTTTTCTCCAATAATATCCTACAACTAAAAAACCTTACAAAAAAAATTCACTTTCCATACACCTGCAAAGTGACTCCATTGGATGACTCTTCTGTACTGAAATAAGTCATTTTATGACTTGTTTTGATAGCTTGGCTAAAAGTAATTTTTTTGAGTTATATCACATTTTCTATTTTTCATACATTTTTATAAAAAAAATTTAAAAAGTTAAAAAGTCTTAACCTATTTTTCAAAACAAGCCTATATTAAAGTTGAAAAGAAAAGTGAAAAGAAGAAAAAAAAGAAAAGAAAAAAGGTGAGGTTATTAAGAGGAAGACTAGCCCAAAATAGAGAAGAGAAAGTAACAATCATCATATTTTTTGTTTTTCAAATTATGGAATAATCTACTTTAAGAAAACTTTTTTTTTAAAATTTATTTATTTTTTTTTTGTATATTTTAAAAACTCTCTATTTATACTTATCATTCTAGCATTACTCTAGCTCTTTCAACTTGTTCTACGTTGTGTAATTCCACGTCACTCATAAGCACAAAGGTAAATCCCAAGTATGGTTTTGTTAACTATCCTACGATAGTCTTCATTTGCAACTCCTAATATGCTCTTTTTTAAGTCTATTATTTAAATATTTGATTAAATAAATCATAATTCTTATATTTAAGATATTTGATGGATAATTTTATCTTTACAAATATTGTTTTAAACACTTAGTAATTTAGTGATATGAGCATTCATGTTTTACAGTGTGAATGTTTACGTTGACGTGTGAATTTTGACAGTTAATATGAATATTATTATTAGTTTGATAATTATGTCGCTCACAAGACTTATTAGAATATAAGAAAATAATTTAATATAAGTAGGTGAATATAAATTTATGACTAAATGTCCGTATTTTTAACATATTTTGATATTTATCTTCCAAAAAATAAATGAAATAAAAGTAAAAAGACCCATATACATATTCATCAATTTCTATCTTTTTTATGGTAAACGGATAAATTATTATTTTCATTATTATTACAAATCTCTATTCATTTTGTTTTTATTTTTCTAACCTTTAAAAAAAAAAAAAAAAGCATAGTCCACTTTATTTTCTAAACTTTTTTTTTTCTTTTTTCATTCTATTTCCTTTAATTCTAGATCTATATTAATATAGGTGTACGGGGAGCAAATATTCCGGCGTGCCCGTATTCCTTTCTTCCGAGCTCCGTCGACGTCCGATCACCTGCGAGCAAGTAATGGTGAGCTACCCGGCGGTGTGTGGCCGGAAAAACCCTCCGACGGTCAAGTTAGCACACACCTTAGAGGGAATAGAGAGAAGGGAGAGAGTGTTTTGGTGTAAGGATTTCTTACAGATATGTGCGTCTGTCGCGTATGGGGGGCGCAGACATACTTATATACCTTCTGAGCCCCATATCCACTCCCTGTCATCTCCTGACACGTGGCTCTGCTATCCCATCTGTCAGCATAAACCATGCCATTCATCACCTGCTCTCAACTGCCTGCCAGCATAGCTGGAGCTCGGCAGCCGAGCTGCCCTACCTCGGTCATACCATGCTTCATACCTTAAGCGCCTAACCGGATAACCGAATGAAGGACCGGGCTAGGCGGCATCTCGGCAAAGCTTAGCCCGGGCTCCTCCTTTGGTCGGCCTTCTCGCCGGTCAGTCAACTACCTCGGCTGACCGCGCCTTTCCGAGCGCCGGCCTCTCGGTTTGTCTGGTCTCGACAATCCTCGGACCGAGCATCCTAGCCTGACCGGTCACTTCCTGGCCGAGCAGCTTCTGCACGGTCCGGGGCAGCACACAGACCAAACTCTGCCCGGCCCAACTTCTGGTAGCCCATCTCCGGGTGAACAGTCGATCATCTCGGCCCAATGCTCTGCTGGGCCCTCAACTTGTTCGGTCTATACCTCGACCCAACACCGGAGCATAAATCACCCTCTCAATAGGTATACGAAAAAGGGGACAAGGACTCTAACAAGTGAAAAAGTCCCTCGAGTTATCTAATAAGTTGCCTTCAATCATTTATTTATCTATTAAGCAAAAGGGTGAAAATATTAAGAAATAAAAGTTGTTTATTATTAATTTATTGGATAAAAATAATCATATAATAATAATTGTGAGGTTAAAATTGGCACGATACGTGGAACTAGTTAGAACTGATGTATCTGATTAGGAGGTTAGTGGTTTAAAATTTTTCACCTGGGTGTGAGTTTTGTTGTATTAATTATTGTTATATTTGATTTATGTATGAATCAGATTAAAAACAAGAAGCAAGATATGTGGAATAGTTGAATAGGTCTATACACAAAAACGGGGGTAAAATTCTAGAAAAAGGGCCCAGTACATGACTGAACTAGTAAAAAATGACTTGTTTAACAAATATTCGACTGACGAAGACTTCACTATTCAATTACTTCTCTCTTAGCACTTGGCAAAAGTATTTATAATATAAAAAATTACAATCAAATAATTATATATACATCAGTCCAATAATTAGCACCAAAATAGGAAAAAAAGAAAAAAAAAACAGTTGAAAAAAGTTTCATAATAGGAGAAGAATTATCAATCTTTGTCTTTAATAAGTAGAATTTTTAGATAGAAGTGTACAACCATAACTAATTGAGTTAACCCAATTAGTTTCCTATTATAAGTTGGTTGTATTAATTTTTTTTATTTCCTTGATCAAAATTTAATCCAAAATTAACTAGCGTTGTAGTATGAAGTTGTGGATTTAATTCAAATAAAAAAGAGTTTAATATCCTTTTGAAGTACTTATTTTTCCTATTATAATGAAGAAAATTTCAATTCAATTGTAACATTTATGAAGAGCTCGTTTGGGAAGTTGGAGCTTGGATTTTTTTGGCTAAAATAGTCACAAAAAAAATATATATATAAACTTTTTAATCTAATAAGACAAAATATTACATCCAACTCATAATTATTACTTTTTTTTCTCACAAAAAGTCAAAAAAACTAAAAAATCATTTCCAAACTAAATTTTTTAACTCTAGGCTAAAATAGCAAAAAAGTCAATCCACTTCCCAAATGTTAGTATATTATTATATGTTAGTATTGTTAGTATATTATTATATGTTAATGTTTAGCTTTAATAATTAGTGTCCCCCCTTGCTTTATGCTTTCGGTGTCTCAATTGGCATCCTATGTTGTCTTCTCCTCTCTATAAAGAGAGTGTACATCTCTTTGTAAATACATACAATTACAGAAACAATTCAGTGTCTCTCTCTCTCTCTCTCTATCCTCTCTCACTCTCTCAAACTATTATTTCATGGTATCAGAGTCCAGTGTTACATTTCTGGCAATTTTCGATTTTGGTGTTTAGTCCCGTACACAGTGGCACTACATCAAACCGCTCGGAATTTCCTCACGATTCCAACGGCACCAAGCCCGTTCTCAGAAAACCTTCCACGCGCCCACACGCACCGCCTTTGTCCTCTGCGCGTCACCACTTCAGCCACCACTCTCACACGCGCCCGCACGCGCCATCTGTTGTTGCTCACTTCCGCCACGCGCCCACACGCACCCACACGTCCGCGGTTGACGTCAGCCCTGCCTCTCCCGTACGCCGTGCCTGCTACTATACGCCTCTCATGCGCCGCTTCACTAGTGTGCACCCGTGTGCGCCAAAACAGCTACCGTGCGCCGCGCCTGCGCCTGTCCGCTACCGTGCGCCCCCGCCTTCTTGCTAACGTGCTCCTCCCTGCACTCTGCTAACGTGCGCCGCTGACATCATTGCTGACATCATCTCTGTCCAGCATACATTTCCTTGCTATTTTCGACCTTCCGGACTCACTGGTACACTCTGTTTTACCTAATTTTGCTCCTACAGGTCTATTCCTATTGCTTTAACCTTACTCAACTAGTATTATGGATCGTCATGATGCCTCCCATCCCATTTCTGTTATTTTGAATGGTTCAAACTATGTTCTGTGGGCCCAAGCCATGTCCTCCTTCCTTAAAGGCAAGAAGCTCTGGCGAATTGTCACCGGGGATGTGACTAAACCGGTGAAAGACAGTGCCATTAATGAAACTACTGCTCCTACTGCTACATATGAAGACCGACTTGAGGAATGGGACAGTAAGAATTACCAAATCATTACCTGGTTTCGTAATACCTCTGTTACCTCTATCAGTCTTCAGTTTGGTCGCTTTCAGCTTGACTCTGTAACTACTCCTGCAAAGGACATCTGGAATTTTTTGAAAGAACGATACCAGATTACTGGTCTTGCCCATCAATATCAACTTCAGAACCAACTTCACCGCATGCGCCAAGAATCCACTCAGTCCATTAATGACTTTCTTTCTCAAATGTACTCTGTTTGGGATCAGCTTGCTCTTTCAGAACCAACTTGGCATAACCACGAAGATACTATTTTATTTACTATCTATCGCAACCAGCAAAGGTTGGTGCACTTTCTCATGGCTCTTACTTCCTCTTTTGAGCCCGTACGTACCTCTCTGCTTCATCGCCATCCATTGCCCACTCTTGAACAAGCAATTTCTGAGTTGCTATCAGAGAAGACTCGTCTTGGTACACTTCAAACTCATCATGTGGACTCTGTTCTTGCCACTCCCCCGTACCGGCCATCATTTAGCCAGCGGACCACTGCTTGCCTCTATTGTCAGAATCGGGGCGTTCCTTCAACCCATCTCCTGGTCAATTGCCCCGTCAGATCCTGCCGCTACTGCAACAAACTTGGTCCTGGTCATCTGCAACAAAATTGTTTTCGCAATCCATCCCGATCATCCTCCAATAGCCACTTCTCTCGCGGTGGCTCTTCCCGGGAAAGCTTTCATCGTTCCGGGAATCAGTCTCATCACACTACTACTACTGCTTCTAGGAATCAGTCTCATCACACTGCTGCTGCTGCTTCCGGGAATCAGTCTCACCAAACTGACACTGCCACCTCTGCCGGGTTCTCTGAGTCACCTACTCCATCTACCCCTCGCTTTTCTCCAACAGATGTAGAGGCCATGCTCAAACAGCTTCTCTCCCCATCTGGTACACCTCCTCCTACTGCTTTGTCTGTAACCCAAGGTAACTCTTCTTGGTATTTTGACTCTGCCTGTTGTAATCATATGACCTCCAGTTCTACTATCTTTTCTTCCTTATCTTCATCTCCTCATATTCCCTCAATACATACTGCTGATGGTTCCCTCATGTCTGTTCGTCATGTTGGTACTGTTTCCACCTCTTCTTTATCTCTACCTCAAGTTTATCATATCCCTGCTCTTACCTTAAACCTTATTTCCATTGGTCAATTATGTGAACTTGGTCTAACTGTCACATTTTCTGCTACTGATTGTTTGGTACAGGACCCTCAGACGGGACAGACTATTGGGATTAGCCGTAAGCGTGGACGTCTCTATGAACTCATTCACCTTCATGTTCCTGACTCTCCTCAAATCGCTGCTCCTACATCTACTTCCTCATTATCTCCCTTTCATCTTTGGCATTGTCGCTTAGGGCATATTTCTGTTAATCGCTTAAAGTCTTTGGTTTCTAGTGGACAGTTGGGTCATGTAATTCCCGATCATTTCGATTGTATACCCTGTCAACTTGCCAAACAACCTGCTTTATCATTTAATAAAAGTACTTCTGTTTCCCTTGCACCTTTTGATCTTATACATTCGGATATTTGGGGACCCTCCCCTACTACTACTATGGGGGGATCCCGCTATTTTGTTGTTTTTATTGATGATTTTTCCCGGTTTACTTGCCTTTTTCTCATGAAAAATAGGCCTGAACTTAAACATATTTATTATAGATTTGCCCAAATGGTCCACACCCAATTCTCCAAAGCCATCAAAATTTTTCGCTCTGACAATGCTATGGAATATCGGGATTCAGATTTCCTTTCTTTTCTTTAGCATCATGGTACACTGCCTCATCGTTCTTGTGCTGGCACGTTCCAGCAAAATGGCCGCGCTGAACGGAAACATAGGCATATTCTTGACACTACTCACACTCTCCTTCTCTCTTCTTCCTGCCCTGAAAACTTTTGGGGGGAAGCTGCCCTCACTGCTGTTTACACTATCAACTGTGCTCCTACCCCTGTCATCCATAATCAAACTCCCTTTGAACGTCTGCATGGTACTCCCCCTCCTTACGCCAATCTCCGGGTTTTTGGCTCTGCCTGTTTTATTCTACTTCAATCCCATGAACACACCAAGCTTGAACCTCGTTCTCGTCTTTGTTGCTTTCTTGGGTATGGAATTGAACATAAAGGCTTTCGCTGTTGGGATCCTCTCTCTAAACGTCTTCGTATCTCCCGCCATGTCGTTTTCTAGGAGCACCAAATGTTTTCCTCGCTATCCTCCTTTCACTTACCCGTACTTTCCACTACTGTACTGTTTACTAATCCTTCCATAGATCTTTTCTCTGCTGATTTTGATACAGGTTCCTCCTTCATCGAGACGCCCTTGCTCACTCCTGATCCCGTCCAGCCTGCTCTCCCTGAAGGTCTACCTCTTATTGCCACACCTCCTTCTCCACCGGTTCTTCCTCTCACTGATCCTCCTACGGGTCGACCATGCCAGGTAACTCTACCTCCTATCCATCTTCGTGATTATATTGTTGGATCTGCTGCCTTCTCTACTTATGAACCTACCTCCTATCATGAGGCTTGTACTAATCCTCTTTGGCAGCAAGCTATGACTGATGAACTCCAGGCCTTGGACAAACCTCATACTTGGGATCTTGTTGATCTTTCTCTTGGCAAGACTGCGATTGGATGCAAATGGGTTTACAAAATCAAAACACATTCTGATGGCTCTATTGAACGCTACAAACTCCTATCGTGAGGCTTGTACTAATCCTCTTTGGCAGCAAGCTATGACTGATGAACTCCAGGCCTTGGACAAACCTCATACTTGGGATCTTGTTGATCTTCCTCCTGGCAAGACTGCGATTGGATGCAAATGGGTTTACAAAATCAGAACACATTCTGTTGGCTCTATTGAACGCTACAAAGCTCGTCTTGTTGCCAAGGGTTTCAACCAGGAATATGGTATTGATTATGAGGAGACATTCTCTCATGTTGCTCGACTTACCTCTGTTCGCAGTTTACTTGCTGTTGCTGCTGCTCGCCACTGGGGCCTCTTTCAGATGGATGTCAAAAATGTTTTCCTCAATGGTCATCTTCTTGAGGAGGTCTACATGCAACCTCCACCTGGGTCCACTTTTCCACCTCATCAGGTTTGCAAACTACAGCGTGCTCTCTATGGCCTCAAGCAAGCGCCTCGTGCTTGGTTTGCTAAGTTCAGTTCTACCATTCATGACTTCGGGTTCACCTCTAGCTCCTATGACTCAGCTCTTTTTATACGGACTACTTCTCATGGTACCACTCTTCTTCTTCTGTATGTGGATGATATGATTATCACTGGTAATGATGAAGCTGGTATTCTCCACCTCAAACAGTTTCTTCCATTGACAGTTTGAGATGAAGGACCTTGGTACTCTTAACTACTTATTAGGCCTTGAAGTCTCTCATGATTCTACTGGTTCCTATTTGTCCCGCCAAATATGCATCCGATCTTCTGGCTCGTGCTGGTCTTACCTGATTGCAAAACTACCTCTACTCCAGTTTGATCCTCAGATTCGTCTCACTCCTCTCGATGGGACTCTTCTCTCTGATGCTACTCTTTATCGCCAGCTCGTCGGCAGCTTGTCTATTTCACAGTAATTCGTCCTGATATTGCCTATGCTGTCATCTTGTCAGTCAATACTGTCGGCTCCCCGCACTCCCCACTATACTGCTCTACTCCGCATCCTTCGCTACCTCAAAGGCACTCTGTTCCATGGCCTCTCACTTCCCTGCTTCCTCCTCTCTTTGAACTGCGTGCCTTTTTCGATGCTGATTGGGCTGGGGATCCTACGGATCGACGCTCTACCACGGGTTTCTGCTTCTTCTAGGGGATTCTCTTCTTGCTTGGCATAGCAAAAAACAATCCCTCACTGCCCGCTCTAGCACCGAAGCTGAATACCGAGCTCTTGCTGATACTACTCAAGAACTTCTCTGGCTTCGCTGGCTCCTTGCTGATATTTCTTCTTCTAGTCCTACCCCTCTCTATTGTGACAATCAGAGTGCACAGATGCTCACAATGATATTTTTCATGATCGCACCAAACATATTGAGATTGATTGTCTATTTCATTGCCACATGTTACTTGTGGTACTTGTCATCCTCCCCTATTGCTTCCGTCGATCAACCCGCTGACATCTTCACTAAGGCTCATCCTCTGGCCGCTTCACAATGATCTTGTTCAACTCAACTTGTTTGATGCTTCCCTCCTTGAGTTGGCGGGGATGTAGATTATATTATTATTTAGTAGTTATTGTATATTATATATGAATGTGTTAAGTCTTAGTTAGTAGATAGGTTTAGCTATAAAGTGCCCCTTGTGTCTTTCGTGCTCAATTGGCATCCTATGTTGTCTTCTCTTCTCTATAAAGAGAGTGTACATCTCTTTGTAAATACATACACATTACAAGAAACAATTCAGTTCTCTCTCTTCTCTCTATCCTCCCCTTCTCAAACTATTATTTCATCCTCTATCCTCTCACTCTCTCAAACTATTATTTCACCAAACAAACCCGAAGTTATATAAAAACATTTGTCCCATAATATATAACCACTTAACTAAGGGAGAATCATCAATGAAATTCAACATCATCAAATCTATAACTAATCATAACTTATTAATTTTTATAGGTTTTTGCGAGCAAGTATTTCTAGAGTACAAAAAAAGCACAAATAAAAAAAAATAAGAATATGATGAGATATTTTTCACTGAATTTAATGTATTTTTTTTATTAAAATTAATACATTTTTTCTAATATTTTTATCTATTTTCAAAATATTTTCTTAGCTCAATCCTAATATTAACCAATGTCTCAAGGCACTCATTAATATGTGCCTAAATTTCTATACAATTCATATGACATTAAAAAAATATTATTAAATACTTGTAATTGAGTTCATATTTCAAATTATTACGCATTAACTTTTTTATTTTTGATTACATTATAAAATTACTTTTTGAGATTTATTTAAAATATAGATTATTTTATATAGTTGAAAAAATTATATCCCACCCTTTCAAGTCTGACTCATTTTATTAAAAAATTATTAAGTCAATTAATAATTTTTAATAATATCATAAATATGTTTTAATTAGTAACCAAAAAAAAGAGAAAGAAATATAATTTAATTAAAAATTCAAATAATTTTATTACTGTGCAAGATAATAGCTAACAAATTTATTTTATTTTTATTAATTTTATTAAATAAAAAATTATAACAAAATATTATTTATAATTTTTAAAAATTACATAAAATAATTCGTATTTAAAAAAAAATCTATAGAAACTTGGTTTTCATTTTTTAAAAACAGTTTTCAGAAAATTCTACACTCTTATTTTCCGTGTTTTTTTGTTTTTACTAAAATTTAAAATATTTAATGCAAATTTTTTAACTTTTTAGACACACCTAACATAAATAACATATAAAAGTAAAAAAATTATAAAAAAATCTTTTAAAAATTCACTAAATACCAAAAATATAAAAAAATACAAGAATTTAGTACATTTTTTTTGTATTTTTATGTATTTCTTAATTTTTTAAAATATTTTTTTATAATTTTTTTACTTTTTAGACACATCTAAGTAAGGTACATCTAAAAAAATAAAAAAAATGTTTAAAATTTTAAAAATATTCACTAAAAATAAAAAAATATAAAAATTAAAAAATTTAATTTTTAAAAAATTTAATCTAAAAAACTCAAACCAAACAGAGTGATTTGTACCATTTGTGTCGTGTCGTGCGGTGTGCAAATTCCGAGATTGTGTTTTGATTGTTCAATACAATTTCAAGGAAAAAATACTCCAAAAAAAATAAATAAATAAAAATTCTCTATATGCTGCCGTGCTTGATGGCTAATCATTGCCAAAATACAGTGAATCTCTGTGATTTCCAGACAAATCATACGTCTAATGATAGAGTATCTTAATCAATGTGTTTGGTTTACTTTTTTAGATTAAGTTTTTTACAAATTTAATTTTTTAGTTTTCGTAATTTTTTATTTTTAGTAAATATTTTTAAAATTTTAAATAATTTTTTTTATCTTTTTAGATACATTTTACTTAGATATATCTAAAAAATAAAAAATTTATAAAAAAATATTTTAAAATTTTAATAAATACATAAAAATACAAAAAGAATGTATTGAATTCTCATATTTTTTTAAAATTTTTGATATTTAATGAATTTTTAAATGATTTTTTTTACAATTTTTTTACTGTTTAGGTATATTTATGTTAAGTATGTCTAAAAAGCAAAAAAAAAATTACTTAAAATATTAAAAAAAATCAATAAAAACAAAAAAAAAACACAGAAAATAAGAAAGTAGAATTTTCTGAAATGTGTTTTTTGAAAAGTGGAAACAAGCAAGGTGATTATTATTTTTTATTTGGTAGAAGTACGAATAATACTTTAATGAAAAATATTTTCCACTAAAATAAAAGTTAATTTTCTGTGATCAATGAAAAATATTTTTCTACGGCCTTTTTTTTTTTATTAAAAATCATGATCTAATTTTTTGTGTATATGTATTTTAAGGTATATTATTTATTTTTTTTATTGAGGCATTTACATATAAATCTTAATTTATAAATTTATATTTCATTAAATCTTAATTAAAAAACTTTTAACCTTTAAACCTTATTAAATTTTTAATAGTCGAAATTATCCTTTAAATAATGATTATTCATTATTTATGATTATGTAAAGGAATATAATGATTTGACATTTATTTTGATTTTTAAAATTTTAAAATATTAACTTTCAAATTGAAAAAACTAAAAAAAAAATTATGTGCCAAAAAAAAACTATTTTCTAAAAACACTTTACAGAAAATAATGATTTTCTAAAAACACTTTTCAAAAAATTATGTGCCAAAAAAAACTATTTTTTAAAAACACTTAACAGAAAATTATGATTTTCTAAAAACACTTTTTAGCAAATTATTTTTAAAAAATTTAAAAAATTGAATTATTTTTTTGTGCAAAACTGAAAATTTTGTGTCTATAAAAGAGCATGATTATGACACATTTATGTGCGAAATTGAAAAAAAAAAAACTTTAAAAATAAAAAAATTAATAATGTTCTCAGTTTTTAAATTGAAAAAAACTGACAATTTTTTTCGGTTTTATTAGATAGTTCAATCAAACCAATAAGTAGAAGGGTAAAAACGTTTAATTTTATACTTTATTTTTTTTATCAGTTAATAAAACAATTATCTGGAATATTACTATGTAAAATTGATAATATTCTTAATTTTAAAAATTATGGCAAACTGATAATATTCTTAATTTTACTAAATAAAACTTATTGGTTCAAAAAATCTTAGATAGGGTCTGAGCTACCATAAGATTTGTAAATAAGACTTTTAGGTCATTAACTTTTTTTTATTTATGATTTTTTTTAATAATGGCTATATTTTAGTTATGACTTATGAAATTTTTGATTATATCTCATGTATTGTTTGGTTTTGATTTTTTTTTAATTATGACTTAAAAAGTATGAAATTATATCATTTTATTATTTAATTATAATGTGTATACTGTACATATTTTTTAAGAGGTACGTACAATATAACAATTGAAAAGTATATATTAAACTATTTAAAAAAAATTACAAAAATGCATGAAAATATAAATTAAAATTTTAATTCTTTTCAATGATTCTTGATGAATATTTGAACTCATGATCCCATGTGCATGTTCAAAGTTATTACTATTAAAGTAACAAATGTTTCTACCAAATCAATTAACAATATAATAATAAAAAAATTACAAATTAATGAAAATAAAAAATAATTACAAATTTATGAAAATATAAGGTAATACCAGTGAGAATTATTTTGCAAATGATAGTTGCCTCTTTTGGCAATTAGGTTAAAAGTGAGTTTATTAACTATATTTAACTTTTTTGAGTCACATTATTTTTTGTATTTTTTTAAATATAAAAATAAAATTTAAAATTTTACTTTTAATACAATTTTGAAAATAGGCCCATTTTCGCTTAGATCCGATCACTGACTTATTCATAAATTTAAAATATTTTTCACATTGTGAATCGATTATTGTTTCTTTATTATGAGAATATTGCACTGAAATAATAGCCTCCCATGTGATTTTTCATGTATCTTGACGAGTCACATTATTTTTTAAATATGGTGAAAATTATTTTCTATGTGAATGTCCATTTTAATCCAACTTTTTTATTTTTTTAAAATAAATTTTTAATCCATTTATAAGTTTCGATTTAAAAAAAAAAAGTTGGGGTTGTTTGGGCTCATGGAGCTCACTACGGATCCGTTTCGATGATCTTAACTGTTTATTTTGTAAAGTCTTCTATATATATTATGGATAAATTAAATCGATTTGATAATCGTATCATTTTTATTTTATTATATTTGCATTTTAAAAAAAAGATGACAAATATATTTTGGAAAATAGGCATTTTTTTTTGTTGGAGACAAACGAAATAAAATTAAAAGACTGCAATTATTAAATTAAATTAATTTTTTTTCATGAATAATAGATAAAGTGATTTACAAAATAAATTATTCAAATAATTGAACCGGGAGACTCAATTCTAAAAGAAAAATAAACATAAACACCATTAAATTAGAAAACAAATTATAAGCACCAAAAGGTCATATGAGCGATGAGTTTGATTATTATTATTTTTTTTAATGAGAGTTGTGTTTAATTTAATAGAAATATTAAGAAATTAGGCAAATTCATCTCTCAAGCAAGCAAGCAAAGGATGGACAAATCTCCATGTGCAAATTCCAAATTTATGCCTGCTCTCTCTCTCTCAAGTGCAAACCGAGAGAGAGGCCCCTTTTGTTTGGGATTATAAAAAGGAGATTGAGATTACTAATACTTTGATATTACTAATACTTTGTTTGTTTTGAGAGATGACCTTGAGACTATTAATACATTGGTATTGCTAATATCCTTGGCAATGATGGTTCTAGAGGGGGCGAAGGGGGGCCGCCGCACCCCCAAAAATTTGAAAAATATCATATATTATACTAGAAATTTTAAAATAATTTAAAATCATAGGAGTTCGCACTCCAAAATTTTTTTTAGATAATTTCAAAATTATATAGAGTAGCCCCCCAATTTGTAGTTTGATAAACATGTGTCAGTGTTACTTGTGCAGTCCTAAGAAACATAATTAATGATAGAAGCAAATCGAATCAACGAGCTGAGGCAAATAGAGTTTATGATTCCATTACATCTTTTGAACTTGTCTTCGTCTTACATCTTATGAGGGATATCATGGAGATTACTAATGATCTTTGCCAAGCATTGCAAAGTAAATCTCATTAAATGCAATGCATTTGATGTCTATAACGAAGATACTTATTCAAAAATTTAGAGAAGATGGATGGGTTCCATTGTTGGAGAAGATTAAATTATTTTTCTAATTATCATGGTATACAGATTCTTGATATGAGCTATCATTATAAAGGAGGCTGAGGTCGGTCTTGTTCTTTATTTGTTTTGAGAGATGACCTTGGGACTACTAATACATTGGTATTGCTAATATCCTTGGCAAGGATGGTTCTAGAGGGGGCGAAGGGGGGCCGCCGCACCCCCAAAAATTTGAAAAATATCATGTATTATACTAGAAATTTTAAAATAATTTAAAATTATAGGAGTTCGCACTCCAAATTTTTTTTTAGATAATTTCAAAATTATATAGAGTAGCCCCCCAATTTGTAGTTTGATAAACATGTTCAGTGTTACTTGTGCAGTTCTAAGAAACATAATTAATGATAGAAGCAAATCGAATCAACGAGCAGAGGCAGATGGAGTTTGTGATTCCATTACATCTTTTGAGTTTGTCTTCATCTTACATCTTATGAGGGATATCATGGAGATTACTGATGATCTTTGCCAAGCTTTGCAAGTAAATCTTAAGATATATTAAATCCAATGCATTTGGTATCTGCAACGAAGATACTTATTTAAAAATTTAGAGAAGATTGATGGGTTCCATTGTTGGAGAAAATTAAATTATTTTCTAATGATCATCGTATACAGATTCCTGATATGAGTTGTCCTTATAAAGGAGGTCGAGGTCGGTCTCATTCTGAAAGAGATCAACTCACCATGGAACATCATTTTCGAGTTGATATTTTTATGGTTACAGTTGATTCTCAGTTTCAAGAATTAAACAATAGGTTTAAGGAAGATGTAATGGAATTGCTTGTTCTTAGCTCAGTTTTGGATCATAGGGATGGTTATAGATCATTCAAAATTGAGGATATTTGCAAACTTGCAAATAAATTTTATCCCATGGATTTCTCCGAGCAAGAAAAATTGCATTTGAAATATCAGTTGGAAAACTATAAGCTTGATATTTCCATACTTTCCGAGTTTCAGAAGCTGTCAACCATTTCTAAGTTGTGTCAAATGTTGGCAAAAATAAAAAAGTCGACAAGTTATCCTCTTATTGATAGATTGATTCGTCTTGTGTTGACTTTATCTGTTTCAATTGTTACATCAGAACGTGCATTTTTGGCTATGAAACTCATTAAGTCTAAATTGCGCAATAAGATAGAAGATGGTTTTCTGGCTAGTTACTTGATTACGTACATTGAAAAAAACATTGCTCAAGGGTTTGATGTAGATTCTATCATCCATACTTTTGATATTATGAAAGAGCGTCGAATTCAATTGAAGATGCCTAATTTTAGTAAATAAACATATATAGAAATAGTTACTACTTTTTGTAAGTGAATATGGGCAAAAAAATATTCTCAATTGTATAATCATCTTTTGGTACTCAACTATGTTGACAAGGAATATATAGTTTAATATTTTATCGTAACATTATTGATTTTTTCCATATTAATAGAAATTGGTATTGAACTTTAAATTTTATTTGTTAGAGGTTAAATTAGGGGTGAGCATGGACCGGATTGGGATAAAACCAGGACCAATCCGTTATCTACGGTTCCTAAAAAATTGGAACCAATCCAATCCGTTTAAATTATGGAACCAATCCGAACCAATCCATTTAAATACGGATTGGATCGGTTTAGGACCACGGATTCACATAATTAAATAACAAAAATATATTTATAACACTTTAATTTTATAAAAATATAAACATAGCACTATATTAGTTCCACAATAGCAACATATTTTTCTATAATAGCGACATACTATTCTAAAATTTAAACAACCATAAGAAAATTGGTTTCACTATAAGTATTTAAACCATTACAACTTAAAATTAAAAACCAACAAACAAAAGTAATAAAAGAATATATTATACGGTTTTAAGTTTGAGTTTAGATTTTATATAGAATTAAGAGAAGATACTATGGGAGAGAATGTATAATAAAAATATAGACTGTTTGTATACGGTTCGGATCGGTTCCAATCCGGAACCGTGGGGTTCAATCCGGAACCAATCCGTAAACTACGAATTTTTAATTCTTCAATCCGGAACCGAACCGCGGATTCAAAAAACCAATCCAAACCTATTGGATTGGACTGGACTGGATCAGATTACGGATTTCACGGATCACTTGCTCAGCCCTAGGTTAAATGTACTTTGGCCCTCCCAAAGTTATAATCCTGGATCCGTTCCTGACCCTTGGAAGGGGGATTCATAGTGAGGAGGTAGAGATGATATTAGAAAAATAATGAGAGGATTATAAATTTTTTTATTTTTTATATATTAGAAATTTTTTTTAAAATGTTAATGTTAAATTTTTATATTTTTTTTATTTGTTTTATTATTTTATGTAAAAATAATTTAATAATTTCTCATTATCAATCCCCTTACTAATAATTCTCTTATTATTAATCTCTTCACTATTAATTTTTTCAATTCTACCTCTGAAAGCAAACGAAAATAGAGAAAAGAGAAGTTTGTTGCTATTTTCACACAAAAACCTGTACTTGTGTTGGGTGAGGAAGTCACGTTTATTGCTGATGTTAGGTTGCTTTCCGAAGAATATACATAGAGAGCCCCACTCGCAAATATATTATATTAGACTTCCCAACTGCATAGAAAACAAAATATATAATTGGTCGTTGGTGAGCTTCTTTTAGTCCCAACGTCCCTCGCCTAATCGTCCATTTCCACATCATCATCATCATCATCATCATCATCATCACCCCTCTCTCTCTCTGTCTCCCTCTCTCTCTATGTATATCATCTCCATCATTTCCAAATATATTCGTTCATATCTCTCTCTCTCTCCTCTTCTGCTAACAGATATGTTACCCGGTTTACCCAATCCTTTTCGTACTAATATATTTGTTCCACACCCTGTCAAGGAACAACTTCCTGGTGTCGACTACTGTGTTAACAGCAATCCCTCATGGCGTGCGTCTCTCTCTCTCTCTCTCTCTCTCTATATATATATATATATATCTTATTCTTCTAAGCATTTCTCTGTTTTTTTTTGGCTGAATTATTATTCAGTTCTCATTGTCCTTTGTCTATTTGCTGATCATGTAAATGTTGCATTTTCTGTATATTCAAGGGCATTTGTACACACATACATGTATGTAAATGCATATATATATACATAATCGCCCTGTATTTTTACATTGTGCCTTGTTGATGATGAATTCATCGGCCATGATAATCTCCTGGTTTGTGGATTCGTTGTGTGAACCGATCGTTTCCCTCTAGTTTTCTCTTCTTATTGAGCTTTTTCCTGGAATGTTTTTGGTTACATTTGTGCCATCACGGAGCGCGTGATCTCCTTTTATTACTTCGACGGTCTCGAATTCGGATTTCATGAATTCCATTTGCGATTGATTTTGTTTTCTACGACGAGGTTCATTGTTGATTCTCAGCATCCTCAAGTGTTTCAATTAGATCGCTATGGAATCATGGTTTTCTCAATTTTAGTTGATTAGACTCTTTGGTTTATAAAACTTCTTTTCACTAAGTTTTGCTCTGCTGGGTTAATAAAGATGAACCAAAAAAAAAAGAAGAAGAAGAAGAAGAAAACAAGGGCTTCTGCTAAAGCAGAGTTAGTTTGGGGAGGGATTTATGGGGAGGCTGTTTTAATGACTTAGTGTAAATAAGAACACTAATATGCTGCTTGAATCGTGGCCCGTTCCGGTATGTAGAGCGGGAATGCGATACACTATCGGCCATAAAATGTAGTACCATAGACTTGTATTGATTACACATTTAATGGAATTCTAAAGTAATTGTTTTTTAACAATTAGACATCTAATTAAATGTATTTTTATTTATTTATATTTCTTCAAATTAATTGCGTAGCAAAACATTTTTACAAGCATTAGGACTTTATTTTTTTTCCTATCAAAACTAATCCAATTTTAGATTTTCGTTCATTATATTTGATTTCTTCCCCTCATAACGAAATATTTATCTTGCATTTGGTTCATAGATTTGGGTAAGAATTTGAAAATGAAAAGTGAAAAGGAAAAAGTAGGTGAAATATGAATAAAATATAACTACAGTCCACCTACATTTTACACATCTTTTCTCTTTGTCTTTCCAAATCTTTTTCTAAATTTATGAACCAAATACAACCTTAAGGAAATATATTGGAATGAACTTTTAGAATGCCTTTGGATCACTAAAATTAACTTTTGGAATGAAATTATATCATGTTTTACAACATACATTCCAAAATATAATTCACTAGGCTATTATATCTAAGTAACACAAGCCTTATTATATGTACCTCTAATTTGTGCGAATTAGTTTGGCCAATGCATTTTGAGTGGATGTATATGTTTTATTGGTCTGTTTGTTCGGACGGACTAGATAAAGAAGATTGGAATCTATCGGATTGTTAATTCTGGATATATTGTCCCTAGATTATTTGGTTGGACTGGATTTGTATCTATGTTTGTTTAGTCATAAGATTAGATGTTAGGAAATAACTATTTGATTGGATAGGATATGAATCCTATATTTGTTCAGGATATTATGGAGAATATTAAATGCCCGAATGACTATTTACCCTTTTTAATTATTTACTAAGTAATAGCAATATTAAACATATCTTTAATATTTTAATTATTTTTAGCTAGATTAAATAAAAATATATTTTATTTTATTTTTACACAATTAAATAAATTTATTTTTAAAAAATTAAATAAATTAAATATCAATAAAAATATTCAATAAAAATATATGTTATTTTTTAATTAAAATTTAATAAAATAATGAAATTAAATAAAACATCTATTAAAATTTAAATAATAAAATTAAATAAAATATAAACAAAATTTTAAAATAAAACATCAATAAAATATCTATAAAAAATTATTTTAAAAAATTAAACAAATAAAACATCAATAAAAATTAAATAAAATTATTTTATTTTTAAATTGAGACATTTAAATTTTACTAAATATAATACATAATTAAATAGTAGAAGGTCAAAATGGTTATTTCACCACCTAATCTCATATCCCCCTTATCCTCCCGTTTGTGTCCCAATCCCCCCATGGGATACAATAGTCCAACAAATTTGGAACTAATAGTCCATCACCAACAGATTTGGGTCCGTCATCAACAGATTTGGGATTAATAGTCCGGTGCAAAAATTTTGAATCAAAAAACGGACTATTAATCCGAATGAACTATTAGTAAAATTTCATGACTCAATCCCTCAAAAACAAACATTCTAAAATATAATTCACAAAGGTATTACTAACACAAGCCTTAATATCTACCTCTAATTTGTGGGAATTAGTTTTGCCAATTCATTTTGAGTGGACGTCTATGTTTTATGAGTTTTATCGAAGTCTAGTAACGGAAAATTTTGGATTGGTACACTAAATAATATAAAAAGTTAAAAAGTCACTATCCTATTTAAGTCACATCATCTTATTTAAATCATATCACCTCTCTAACACATCACATCAAACCTAACCCAAACTCAACTCATATAAGCCAATAAATTAAAAAGTACAATTTTTTAGAACATCTCAAACCAACCCTTAATGCAGCTATGGCCATACTTCTTGGTTTTCAGCACTATGTGGTAATGCTTGGGATATCATAAAGGATATATTTTGATTGTCCTGCGTGCTATTTTAAGGAGAATAACAAATCAGTACATATTTTGACCCCTAAAAAAAAAATTTAAAAATCAAATTAATGATAAATTTTGTAAATTTTAATTATTAAGTATAAACTTTTCCATATATATGTAATTATTTTTTAAAGGTATAACTGATTTGTAATTTCTCCTTATTTTAAAAGAAAACTACAGTGGTGTGGAATATGAGGAAAATTATTACTAGTAAATAGTTAGCAAGTGAAAACTTTATTTACAAACACTCCTTTGAGGGGTCGCTTGCCTCCGGTTTGAAATTGAATTGGACGGTACTGTTCGGTCCATGAGAGTTTATCACGAGTCCCGTTTTAATAATTCGAATCATCCATATGTAGAATTTGTTGAGTACTATATGCCTGTAAAAAATCACGTTGATCAAATATTGATAGCTATCTCATCGGATTAGTTTTTTGTCAACTATTAATTTATTCACTTCAATTTTTTTAATATAAAACTGATTTGATCACATAGATATCGATATCCGATCGACGTGTTTTCTTACTAGCCTATAGTAATTGACGGATTCTAAGTATTGAACGGTTCATATTATCAAAACGAGACCTGTGATGGGCTCTCATGAGCCGAATAATACTATCTAATCCGATCTGAGATTGGAGGCAATTGCTCCCT